GATAGGGGCGTTAAGGTAGAGTACCAGCAGATGTAGCCAAAAAAAAAAAAAAAAGAAAAGTAGTAGTGCAAAATTTACCTTTATGTCAAGTCTATACAAGGGTTCATTCATTTCTAGATAATAAGAACAAGTCTTATTAAGAGGTAGTAACTTAATGACATCCAAGATACTGACTATGGGATTCTAGACCCAGGCCCTGCACCTTGTCCCTCTAACCCTGAGATTTGAACCACCACCCCTTTATTTCTTTCCAGTCGACGCCTCCATGCAGAGTTTGCTGCTGAGCGGGACTGGGAGCAGTTTCATCAGCCTCGGAACCTGCTCCTAGCCTTGGTGGGAGAAGTGGGTGAGCTGGCAGAACTCTTGTGAGTAGACAGGAAGCTTCCTGGAAGAGGCTGTGGTTCGGGTGGTTTGGGGAGGGAAGTATTCAAACACTATAGTGGGTTTTATTTTCCTTATTGGTGTATTCAGTGCTGCTGCTGGGGAAATAGAGATAACAGATGGGTTCCAGCCCAGTAGGGTGCTCAGTTTCAGGGGAGAGAAAGGACAGAAACAGTGAGGCAGACTAGGAAGGACAGTGGTCACCAGCATTTTGCCTCTGAAATACCTCTGAAATAAGGAATTTCAAAATATGACTTGCCCGGTGGCCTGCCAGGCAGGGAACTTCCACTTACAAAGGTAGTGAGGGGGCTGCTGAGATTTCTCTGTGCTTAAGAGCACTTCCTGATTCTGCAGGAGAGCTGAGTTTGGTTCCAAGCACCCCCATTGCAGGTCATAAGGCCCATAACTCCAGTTTCAGGAGACCTGACACTCTCTTCTGGACTTGGAGGCTCCTGTACATACAAAGTGCACATACAGGTACACAGGGGCTTGAACACATACCTGTACAATAAATACATACTTGAAATAAAAAGTAGTGAGGCAAGAAAGGACAAGTTGAATTCTGGGAGAATCCAGTTCAGTTTGAGGGATTTTGTTTTTGTACTGTGGTATGCCCATCATGGCCATTTTGTAGAAGATGGTACTCTGGAAGACAAGGGTGGGAGGCAAACCCAGGCAGGTAAGGTTGGAGCTAGAAGGTGATGGAGTTCAAACAGAAGGCCTGATCTAACCTGAGTCTCAGAAAGATCTCTGTCCCTGCAGGGCAGAGTGGACGTCTGAGAGAAATGGAGTAGAGCAGACTAGTGGGCAGAATGGTGCAGACTAAATCTGGGCAGCCACTGTGGAGACGAAGAGAGCACATATGATCTGTCTGAGGGTGGGCTGTTTTTGTTTTTTGTTTGTTTGCTTTTGAGACAGAGTTCTTTATAGCTTTGGCTGATTTCAAACTTATACAGATCTGCCTGCCTCTGCCTCCCGAGTGTTGGGACTAAAGTCATGCACTAGCACTGCCCAGCAAAGGTCATTTAAGATTTATTTATTCATACACTGTTCCGCCTGCATGTATGCCTGCACACCAGAAGAGGACACCAGCTCTCATAGCCGTTGTGAGCCACCATATGGGTGCTAGGAATTGAACTCAGAACCTCTGGAAGGGCAGCCAGTACTCTTAACCACTGAGCCATCTCTTCAGCCCCAGGCCATCCTTTTTTCTTTTCGTTTCTTTTTTTTTTTTTTTTTAACAGATGAATTAGCATCCTGTGTGTTAGATCATCTGGACCCAAAAGATGGGGCCTTGGACCAGGCTGACTCTGGTCCTAGTGGGAGGTGACTGATAATACATGAGTTAATTTTAAGTGATCTGGAACTGCGGTTAAGAGGGGGAAAAGGTCAGATGTGGTGGTGTGAGGTGAAATCCCAGCATTTGAGGGGAAGAGGCCAAAGGATCTGGTGTTCATCCTTGGCTACATAACACCCTGTCTTGGGAGTGGAAGGGAGAGGAGATGAGAAAGTAAGTTTTTGAGGTGGTAACTTCTGAACTGAGACCTCAGTATCCAGAATGGGAGAATCTAGGGTGTGGCAGGTGGTGTTCAAGAAAGAAGAGTGTCTGCAAAGAGGAAAGATGGTTGTGGCTTTGGGTGGGAAATTAGTGGGCGGAGGTAAGTTAATAGGAAAATGAATTCAACTTCTGTACGGATCTAGGTCTGGGATTTTGTTTGGCTAGAGAAAAGTAGAATTGAACCTCCAAGTGTCTGGACAGTGTTCTCTTGGTCAGTCCTTGGCTTGGGTAGAGTCACAGGAGTCTGCCTGTTACCTGTTAAGTCTCTTCCCCACCTGCCTCTATCCAGAGCCCAGGCAGGTCCTTGCAGGAATAATCTGAGCTGTGGAGTGTGATACTTGATAGACTGGAGGGGGGCTGCTGAACTAGCAAGCTTGTGTGTCTGTCTTGTTCTCTTTCCAGTCAGTGGAAGTCTGATGCAGAGCCTGGTCCTCAAGCCTGGCCACCAAAGGAAAGAGCAGCTCTTCAAGAGGAGCTTAGTGATGTCCTCATCTACCTGGTAGCATTAGCAGCCCGTTGTCATGTGGATTTACCTCAAGCAGTACTCTCCAAAATGGACACCAACCGACGACGTTACCCAGTCCATCTCTCCCGAGGTTCCTCTTGCAAGTACACAGACTTGCCCCATGGAACCATCTCTGAAAATCAGTCTGTGGAGGCTGCAGACCCTACCTCTGAGTTGAAAAACCAGGCCTCCACCTAGAAACATGGTGTCTGAACAGCAGAGATGGACTTGTTCTAGTCTGGTCTTACTAAATCATGGCCATGTCTGAGGCCCAAGAGTCTCCAAAAGATAGTCTACTGGTGCCTTCTCTCTCAATAAAATGATTTAAGGCAACAAGGTCTAGATTTTTCTTGGGTAGCTAGATAGAATGTTTATCTCAAGTCCTGCAGAGAAGCAGTGCTCTGCCCAGTGCAACTGTTAGTTGCTATTTTGCCTTCTCAACTTCAGACTTACAAAAGCAGAGAACTGGAAGTAAATATGGGCCACAAGTTTTTGAGGAGTGCAGAATACAGCTTTCTTTCCACCTTGGTCCCCTGGTATAAGTAAAGGCCACTCACCCCCCTCACCTGGCTAATCCTGTTCTTTCTCTCCAGCTAGATGGTGTTGAGTGAATGATTTCCCTAAGACATCTAGACCTATCTCCTGAAAAGAGGATTAACTCAGAAAGCAGTGGTAGTGATTATCTGCCCCTCTCCTCTAATGACCCTTCTTGCCTTCCCAGATAAAACAACTCCTCAGGTTAAAACAGTTTTATTTTTATATTCCCCAAACCACTAAATATTATAACAGTATTTAGTTTTATTCCTTGTATATAATAAAATCTTCAGTCTTATCTCTGGAACTCTAAGCTTCTAATTTTTCCTTTACAATTTTTTTTTTTTTTCTTTTCAAGCTTTTTGAAAAAGGGTTTCTCTGTGTAGCCCTGGCTATCCTGGAACTCTCTCTGTAGACCAGGCTGACCTCCAACTCAGACATCCACCTGCCTCTGTCTCCCAAGTCCTGGAATTAAAGTGTGCCACCATTGTGACAAATCTTAAAATATGACTTCTGATAGAGATGCTGGAGTGTGGCTCTTCATAGTTGATGGTTTCTGGGGGCTGGGGGTGGGCAGGAAGACTAAGTTATCTTTAAGGGGCTGGCCACTGGAAGTTTGACCATGCTCCAATGAGTATATGGGCAATACAAATTGGACTTGATGGTTCCTTTCTTTTTTGTGGGGAGGGCACAAGGTTGGGAGGGTGGACCTGGGAGGAATGGGAAGTAAGTATGATCAGGATACATTGTGTGAAATTTCCAAATAACCAATAAAAATATTATGATGGGAAATAAAGGTGTATACAAGGGGGAAAAACACATGACTTACAGGGTTGGAGAAATTGCTCTGAAGTTAGGACACTTGCTGCTAGTTTTTGTGGTCTTTTCATTGTTGAGAGAAGGTGTCAGTGTATCATTGGATGACCTGGAACTTGCTGTGTGGACCAGGCTGGCTTTGAGCCCAGAGATACATCTGCCTCTGCCTCTGCCTCCTAAATGCTGAGATTAAAGGCGTGCGCCACTCCTAGCACTTACCCTCTTGCAGAGGACTGAAGTGTGTTCACAGCACCCACACGAGCAGCTTACAAATGCCTGCACCACTAACTCCAAATCTCACTGCCTCTTCTGGACTTAGTTGGCACCTGCACACAAGTGAGCACAAGTCCAGACTCAGAATTCCATTCCAGACATCCACATGGTATAGGAGGAAAACAAACTCCTGCAAGTTGTCCTCTGACCCACACGAACACCATGACACAAGTCCCTCTCCACATAGTAAAAGTTTAAAAGTATTAATTGCATACCTGCAACTATGAGGCTGAGACAGAAGGACCTAAGTTTGTGGACAGTTTGGGCTACAAACAAAAACTATTTTTTATACGTATCAATGTTTTGGCTACATGTGTGTACCATGTCAGTGCCTGGCGCTAGGGAAGTAACAAGTTTTGGATCCCCTAGAACTGGAGTTATGGATGCTTGGAATGGAAACCAGAGCCTCTGCAAGGCTCTTAAAAATATGTACTCACACACCGGAGAAGAGGCACTGCCTACTTTCCCCATCACAGTTCTGGCGAACACCTGATTGTGAATGTCAATTTCCTTGTCCTTGCTGTACCATTCACTAGCTGTCTGCAAAAGTAAGTATCAATGAGGTTTGGAGCTAGGTGTGGTGGTGTAAATTTGTAATCTCGGGATTCAAGAACCCACCCCACCCCACCCCCAAAGTTCAAAGACCAGCCTGGTGTACATAGTGCATAAATGAGGGGAAAGCTAATGTACCTAAAGTTCTTAAATCTATAAAGCCCCATTCCTCCCCCATTTGCCGCTGACCCCCAAAGGGGGTCATGCAGACATCCTGTTTATGGTTCTTTTTAAGAATTGACATTGATGCCAAAGGCCAGGCAGGTGTGTGATTTTTCCCCAATCCCAGGAATCCCTTTAGGCTATTTATAGCCCCACTTGGATCCATTATACCTAGTGTTGTTCCCTTCCCACCCACCTCACTTACAGGCACCGGTGAGGTGAGGATAGAATACTTTATTCACTCAGAAGGGCCAAGGGAATGTAGTTGGGGACGGGGCACGGTTTCTAGGGACCCCAACAGGGCCCTCCCTGTCGCCCAGTCCCAAAGCACCCCGACTCAGGTGCCGGCGTGGAAGGAGCAAATCCCAAGTGCCCCTCGCTGCCCCGCCGTGGCTCAGCTGCCCTCGCACTCCGGGCAGCGCTCGGTGGGCGTGGCGGCTGTGGCACTGGCGGGTAGCTTGAAGTCTCGGCCGCAGCCCGCGCAGATGTAAAGGCGGCGTCGCATATGCGCGCGACGGTGGCGGATGAAGTGTGAGCTGAGGCGGAAGCGCCTGCCGCACTCCGTGCACGGGTAGGGCCGCTCGCCCGTATGCGTGCGCGCATGCTCCGCCAGGTTGGAACGGTGGCCGAAGCGCCGGCCGCACACGGCGCAGCGATGCGGCTTCTCGCCCGTGTGCACGCGCCGGTGCTTGGCCAGCGCCGAGCTCTGAGCGAAGCGCGTGCCGCAGTCGGCGCATGCGTACGGGCGCTCGCCCGTGTGCGTGCGTCGGTGGCGCGCCAGGCACGAACTTCCGCCGAAGGCTCGTCCGCAGTCCGGGCACGCGTAAGGCTTCTCGCCCGTGTGCACGCGCAAATGCTGCGCGTAATTGGAGCTCTGCGCAAAGCGACGGCCGCAGTGTGCGCATGCGTACGGCTTCTCGCCCGTGTGACGCCGCCGATGCTGCCTCAGGTTCGAGGCGGCGGAGAAACGCTTGTCGCACTCCGGGCACTGGTAGGGGCGCTCGCCCGTGTGCGTACGGCCGTGCTTAGTCAGCGCCGACTTCTGCGAGAAGCACCGGCCGCACTCCGTGCACGCGAAGGGACGCTCGCCCGTGTGCGTGCGCGCGTGTTTGGCTAGTGTGGAGCGGCGCGCAAAGGCGCGGCCGCAGTCTGGGCACGCGTGGGGTCGCGCCGGGTCGGCCGACGGCGCTGGCATCTGGCTGGCGACCTGCAGGGAGAGGGAGGACAGGTCAGCCTTAAGAGGCCCCAGCGGAAACCTAGGTCTCCCGCACACTGCATTCTTTGAGCCTCAGTTCCTCTTCTGTAAAATAGGAAACTGCCTGCCTCTGTGATTGTATACCGTACATGAATTAATACCGGGTGGAATTATAGTGACTTGAATTAATTCATTAAATTCATTGGGCATGTTCTAGGTTATAAAGTTAAGAGGCAGTGGGGACTTGACATTAAATAGAAAGTTCTAGGTGCGGGTAATGCCAGCAGTGGGACAGGATCAAGAGATCAGGCCAGTCTGCGCTACATACAGAGACGCTGTCTCAAAACCAGAGTGCTGATGATGCGGCAGTGACAGAGAGCTTAGCTATCAATTTCTCAGCCCTGGGAAGTACCCTGCTTACATGAGTAATGTGTTAAAATCACTGAATTACCGGAATGCTGCAGATTTAAGTAGGGCTAGGAAGACACTGTTGTGACAGGACAAGTTACCAGGGGGAGGACAGAGATGGAGAACCACTATGACTTTGATGAGGAAAGTGACTAGTTCACACATTTTAAAAGGCTTTTCGGAACCCAAATGAAGGAAAAGCAAAGACAGAACCAGGAGCCTAGTGAGGACGCCACTGCTCTCATCTGACAGAGGACTAGTTGCCGTAAGCTCAGGAAACTAGTAGAAAGTGGAACCAGAGATGTCAGTTTCTTTATCCACTTTACAGTTTAAGAGATGGCAACAAACTGGCTTCGAGGTAAGATTCAAAATGGCTAGGGTATAGTTAGGTCTACTTGCCTCTACCTCTCCCAGGATTAAAGGCATGGTGGCCTGGCCCCAAGTAACTATGGTGTTTAGGCTTAGAACTACACAGGGGAAGTGGGTAGGGAGTAAGACATTTTCAGCCTGCAGTGGTCACTAAAGCCTAGAGAGGATGGCAGGGAACACTGGAGCTGCCAGCTGGTGAGTATGGGCAGAAGCCAGGGCCAGACTCCATAAACCTTTAAGAGCAAGCCCTTTCCTGAGCTGTGAAAAAAACCAGATGTTGCTCTGAGGCCTGAAGTCATGAAGCTTGAAATGATTCAGTCTGGACTTGTAGAGATGAAATCAGGAAAAGGAAAAAAAGCTGTATAACAGGCAGATGAAGTGGAAACATTCTGTGTTAGATAGAGAGTAAAGAGGAATATTGAAGGCACATTTCTCCCGTGTAAAATAAAAACACCATATATAGATGACTGAAAGCATGGTACAAACTTCCTATCTGTGAAGGGAGTTAGTGAGTGAGGAATTTTCCTTCTTGGGGGGCAGGGTGGGGGTACTGCAGAGAGACTAGGGGTGGCGTGATCCCCTAGTAAAACCAACAATAAGTACCATGGACAATCAATTAAGAAATTAATTCATGCTGGGCTGGTGGTACAGGCTTTGATCGTAGCACTCAGGAGGCAAAGGCAAGTGGATCTCTGTAAGTTCCAGGTCAGCTTGTTCTAGAGAGTAAGGCCTAGGACAGCCTCCAAAGTACTGAAAAACCCTGTCTCAAAAAACCAAAACCAAACAAACATATTAATTCATGACCAGAGAATCACCCAGCACACAGGACAAAACACATGCTACCTCTCCTGTATGCAATTCAATACCACCCTCCTTTTAAGGAGGGAACACCACAAGAAACAGTGACAGAGAACAGGACCTTCCCTTTCAGAAGCTGGAACAGAGCAACTTGAAGGCCATCAGTCCTCTATCATAAGAAACTGGCTTTGAGGCTAGGTGGGGGTGACTTAGTCTCAGCACTCAGGAGGCAGAGGCAGGCGCAGCACTTCTGAGTTCAAGGCCACCCTGGTCTACATAGAGAGTTCCAGGCCAGCCAGGGTTGCATAATAATACCTATCTGAAAACAAAACTTAAATCCAAAGTGGCTTTGATTTCAAACTAGGACATATGCCAGCCTAGAGAACTCTGGTTTTAATAATAACAATACCACCCCCCTCAGTTTGGCTTGACTTTCCCCAGTTTCAGTTGGCAGCTGTCAATCATGGTCTGAAAATATTAGGTGGAAAATTCCAAAAATAAACAATCTGTAAGTTTAAAAGAACTTTTATTACAGTATATTGTTATAGTTCTGTTATTATTGTTGAACTCTTACTGTGCTAAATTTAGAAATTATTATATCATAGGTATATACTGAAAGGAAAAGGAAAAAACACAGGCCAGGTATGACAACACACCTATAATCCCAGCACTCAGCAGACTGAAGCAGGAGGATCACAAGTTCTGGACCAGCTTGGGGGATATGGCAAGAACCTATCACAACAACAGCCTAAATATGTATGTATGTATGTATATACACATACATACATACATACACACACACACACACACACACACACCTGAAACCATCCAAAATTTTGGGCATCCATGGCAGGGTGTGTGTCTGTTTAAATATAAATTCCTAAAAGGGGCTTCAGTAGTCGAGAGCTTCATGTCAATACTGTGACAACATGTATGCTATTACAGTAAATCTTCCTGTTACCCTTCAGTCAGGTGTGACAGCACCTTAATGTATAACCCAGGCTAGCCTCATACTCATTGATAAAAATCTGCCTCCTGACCGTTGATTTCAAGTGTGTTCACCATGCAGGGTTACTTTTGTTTACTTATTTTGTTTGCTTTATGGAGAAGTTCTTGCCTAGGCTGGCCTGGAACTTGAAATCCCCCTGCCTCCACCTTCAGAGTACAGGGGTCACAGGTGCTACCTCCAGACAGCAGAGAAGAGAGGAGACAATGGGGAGGTGTAACTCCCCCTACACTACAGCCAGGGCCTGACAATCCCCACTGTCTCCATCTCTCTGCAGCAAAGTTCCGCAATAGAGTCACTTTCCTCCATGCCCTGGTTCTGACACCCACTGACTCTGTTTCAACAAAAGACCACTGTGGAAATGGCATCCTTGATGATGCCCAGCCTGGAACCTCCTCACACTGGCTTCCTTGACTTGGACCTGGCATGGAATCTTGGTAATGGCCTGAGTCTAGCTCCCTGGGACATGGATAAGGCCAGGAGAAGTGGCCATCATCAGCACTTGGGTGGCTGAGACAAGGGGTTCAGAAGTGTGAGGCCAGCCTAAGCTAAATAGTGAGACCCTGCCTCAAAACAAGCTAATGAAAGTTTCACAACCCTTTGTGCTAGGTACTTCAGTCCCATCATATACATGAAGAAGTAAGTCACAGACATCAACTGATACCCAAGGCCATATAGCTAAGAAATTTGAACTCAGGTCAATCATTCTTAGTCATGGTGGGATCCTACAGCACATCTCAAGTATGATGTAACCTAAGCAGTTTGTCTTCTCCCCTAAACCCTTCAGTCAAAATCTTCCTCTTTTATACTTCCTACAAAGTATAAAACACCACCTCCAAGGTTAGCTCCTTACTATAGAATGTGGCCCACAGCCCAGCCACATCAGAATCACTGGGCACTTGTGAATAGCATACAGGAATGAAGCCTGGGCCTAATCCCCAGCACTTCATACACTGGCCATAGTGGCATGCGACTGTAATCCCAGCATGCAGGAAGTGATGCAGAACAACCAGAAATTCCAGGCCAGCTTCCACTCTACAGTGGACTCCAGCTGGCTCTATGCCTCTAATTCCAGCATGTGTGAGGTAGAGGCAGGAAAACCAGGAATTCAAGTTCTTTAGCTATACAGGGTTCCAGGACAGCCTGAGTCTTAAGCCTCACCCACAACCTGAATCATAATCTTCCTTTTAGGGGTTGAAGAGCACTGGCCACTGTAGCAGAGGACCTGGATTGAGTTCCTAGAACCCACATGGTAGTCTCACAAGTATCTGAAACCACTTTCAGAGGGTTACAATGCCCTCTCCTGGCCTCTATGGAAACTACACATACGTGATGCACACATACATGCAGGCAAAGTATTAGTACACATAAATAAAAATAAATCTTAAGTTTCTTTTTAAAAAATCTTCGCTTTAGGCTGGTGGTATAGCTCAATGGTACCTAATATGCACAAGACCCTAAATTCAATTTTCAGCATTGCAGAAACAAAGAATTTCACTACATCAAGCTCCCAGTGATCTTCAGACATGTTTAAAATTAAATTCACACCCTGTAGTGAACAGTGATGGCACACACCTGTAAATCCTAGCAATCTGGAAGCTGAAGCATGAGGATCATAAGTTCAGAGTCTACCCAAGCACCATACATAGCAAGAATCCCATCTCAATAAATAAGACATTTAAAAACTAAGCAGTCTAATCTGGAGGTGAGGAGAGCTGCACCCATAAAAAGCTAAAGAGTTTATAGGTTCAACACACAGTATGGTTCAGGATCAGCTGGCCATGAGGTGGGGGCTAGGCAATTAGAAAGAAAACAAAAAGACGCAAGAGCATACTGAAGAGCTTTCAAAGTCAAGTGGAAGGGCTGAGACTTCATCCTAAAAATCCAGAGAAGCTCCCCATAGGTGCCACGGTACCCCACACCATGGTACCTGCTGTACACACACTCACACAAATAAATGATTTAAAATTGAGACAGATCAGAGTCTGACATGCAAAGACTACTCCAAACTCTGAATGTAGCATCACTGAGGCATGCTTTCCTCAGCCCTGGGAACTGAACCTAGCACGCCCAATTTTACCGCAGAGTTAAATCCATAGCCCCTTGAGACCTGTTCTCAACAAGGAATGGCCATGAGATGACAGCTAATGATACTGGATGACCCCACCCCTACCCCCAGAGGAGCACTTGCTATGAAGCCCACACTGGCCTGGAGCTTTCAATCCTAACTTGGCCTCCCTAGAGCTGGGATAAATTACAGGTATGCACCACCATGCTAGCTGGAAGGCACTTTTGAAATAACAAATGTGTACACAGAGAAAAGAGGCTAAAGGAGGCCACATAGCAAATCATTGAGCTGTCTTATTGGCAGAGGGCCAGTTATGCCTTGCATCTAACCCTCCGACCTCCCTTCCTCCTAATCCACCCTGATCCCAGACTGACATTTGATGATCTATCTCTCCTCTTGGCTGTCTGGAACTTGCTCTGCAGACCAGGCCAGCCTCAAACTCAGAGATCCCCCTATCTCTGCTTTTGGAATGCTGAGGTTAAAGGCATTTGTCACCAACCAGTGTGGTGGAGGCAAATGCTTTTGTTTGCAGCATTTGGGAGGCATAGGCAGGAGGTCCTCTGTGAGTTTGAGGCCAACCTGGTCTACAGAGCAAGTTCCAGGACAGTCAAGGCTACACAATGAAACCCTGTCTTGAGGTTAAAAGAAAAAAAAAAAAAAAAAAAGGAATCACCACCATGCTCAACATATTCCCTAATCTTATTACCCTAACTAACATTGTTTTTACAGTCTGGCCCAATGGACCTTTTATGATTTTCATGATAAACCTTCCTTATCTCTCAGCTTCAGCTAAAGATAAGGTAGGGTACCCAAAACACCCTTTCCCTTACTGCTGCTGTTACTCCAACACAGGCCACTAGCCTTAGCAGACAATATTTTTGTATTTGTTATTTTGTTTTGAGACAGAGTTCCTCTATAATTGCCCTGACTGTTGTGGAACTCACTCTGTAGACCAGGCTAGCCTCAAACTCACAGAGATTTGCCTGCCTCTGCCTCCTAATGGTGGGGATTAAAGGTGTGAGCCACCATACCAGGCTGGTTTTTTTTTTTTTTTTTTTTTTTTTTTTTTTTGTTTTTGTTTTTTTCTTTATTTCTTTCTTTTCCAAATAGGTTTTTTTTTTTTTTTTTTTAATGTAGGCTAAACTGGCCTTAAACCCACATATAACTGAAGATAATTTTGAATGTGTTTGAATGTTTTGCCTGTATGCTAAAGAAGGTATTGGATCTCTTGGAACTGGAGTTACAGATGGTTGTGAGTCAACATAGGGGTCCTAGGAACTGAACCTGCTCTGGAAGAGCAGCAAGTACTCTTAACTGCTAAGCAGCTAAGCATCTCTCTGGCCCCAACCCTGAACTTCTGAACTTCCTGCCTCTACCTCCCTAGTACTGGAACCACAGTATTTGCCAGCATGTCTGCTTATGTGGTGCTGAGGATCAGGACTTTCTGCATGCTAGGCAAGAACTCCATAGGCTGACTCTTCCCCAGCCCCTGCCAGGGATTCTTTTGAATAGAAGCTCCAGTTAGTTTCAATGATTGGCTTAAGACTTCCCATGTCACAACAGGAGAGAACTCAGTGTGCCCAAGATGTTACCCTGTCCTGTTTAAAACCCTCTACACTTTGGCTGCAATGAAACCTTTCTGTCACTTTCCCTGAGCCTTTGCTCTTGCCCTTTTTCCGCCTCTACCTGTCACCTCCCCACTTAGCCTCTAAGGTCACACTGGACAGCCTCTCTTCAAGTCCTGCCCACTGCCTGGGGTAGTTTGCCTTCAACTCTGTCCAACTTGAGACCATCCTAAAAACGCCTTTGATAAAAATGAGCTGGGAGGCCATCGAGGTAGGTTGGCTGGTAACAGGGCTTGTCGTGTAGCCCTCAAGAACCAAGTTCTGTTCCTGGAATCCATGGTGCAAGGAGAGCCAACTCCAAAAAGTTGTCTTCTGACCTCCACACAAGGGTCTGTATTCATTCTCTCTCTCTCTCTCTCCCTCTCTCTCTCTCTCAGAAACTCAATAAAATATAATGGTTGGAGACAGGTGTGGTACACGACTTTAATCCCACTCAGGAGGCAGAGGCAGGCAGATCTGAATTTCAGGCCAACCTGGTCTACAGATCAAGTTGGAGGCCAGCTAGGGCTACACACAGAAACCCATCTCAAAAAACAAAACAAACAAACAAACAAAAAACAAATTAACAACAATAAAAAGTACAAGTTGGGCCTGCTTACACCCCTCAGGGCTGTGGTGGGAGGATATGGGGAGATTGGTTAGGTTGGCAGACTACCAACCTATCTCCAGGTTCAGTGAGAGATTCCTGTCAAGGGAATAAGGTGGAGAGTAATGTCATCCTTGTCCAGCTTTGGCACATGCACAGGTACACACACTCACATACACCACTCACCCACACATACAAAGAAAAAACAGAACTGTTTACACAATGCTTATGTGTAAGACACAGCTCTAACTCATGTACTCAAGAAGGCCTTAAAACTCCAAGAGCTAAATGCTGCTCTGCTCTCCCTTTTACTAATGAAGAAACAGAGGGTCAGAGAAGTTAAGAAGCCAAGTAGCTCTGCTCAGGCCTGAAATCTCACATAACTAATAGGAAGGCTGAGGTCTAAGGACTGCCTGCCTGCACTATTGAATAAGTTCTAGGCCCACCCAGGGAGCTTGAGTGAGACCCTGTCTCAATGGAAAAAGGTCTAGCTATAGTACAGAGACATGCAAAGCCTTGGTTCAATCCTTAGTGCCACAAGAAAAATTAACAAGGGTGAGGAGTTGTCAGCTGGTAGGTAGTGGTGGATGGAAGGCCACCCTGAGCTCCAGAGCCCTAAGCCCTTAATGTACAGACCAAAGAGGTAAGGAGGAAAGGCTGGCTGTGCTGACAGCAGGCCAAGAAAGCTGGGAAAAATAGGGCTTCATAGTTAATTCAGAGTGGAAGAGGCCTAGAGAGCAGGTCCCCTTTCCCAATAATTCACCTTCCACAGAGGGAACTAGAATTTTCCCCCTGGGATGTGAACCTTGAAACCTGAGGGAGCAAGAGCCTGAGAGCTGGACTCAAGGTTACTCAGACAGGGACAGCCCAGGGTCCTGGCAGCTCTTGGAGGTAGACTAGCTGGTGACAGTTAAGGTCTCAAATGGCAGACTCTTAACTCCTTCGGATGTCCTTAAGACCTTCAGATACCTTAGGAGGAAAACCCAAATTCCCAGTATGGTCTGCCGATCAACCTACCTAGGGCCATACTGCAGTGTGAGGGAGCTAGGGGCTCACGACTCTCCACTGAAAGGGCCATTCTTTCTGCCTGGGGCAGTCACTTACTAACTTAGGTCAGTGACCAACTGTCCTGTGCCTCAGTTTCTCATCTGTAAAATGGAGTCAATACTACCAACAAACCAGATTAGAGGTGCTTAGAATAGCATCTGGCACACCATAAACTATCAAGACTTAGCTGTTGTTACTGGTTCCTGACCCAATCTTCCCTCACCCGAGTCTGAATTATGCTCCCACCTCTGACCCTCACCATTCCTACATATCTGAACTCAGAACCCAGGATTGAGTTTATGGACATCAAGCAGCAAGGGGCTCAGAAACCACTTAGCATGGTGCCCCCATGCAACACTCAGCATGGCTCCTGACTCTCACAGTGGGCCAAATCATCTGTCCAATCAGGTCGGGGGCAGTGGGCAGAAGATGGGCTAATCCTGAGGTTCGAGATCTGCGATCCAGAGAAGGTGGGGGCTAGGATTCCTGACTTCTGTCTGAGGGACGCTGAACCTGGCCCAGGTTCGAGGGTGGGGGTGGGATCAGGGTGTAACACGTACCTCCTTGTTGTCCACAGGGATCTTGAGTTTCACCACCTCATACTTCTCCTCACCCTCCTCCTCCTCACCCTTCACCAGCAGCACCATCTCCTCCTGCATCTCTTCCTCCTCCTCCTCCTCTGCCTGCTGTTCGCCAGGCATCTTGGTGTCCTGAGGCGGGGCGCTGGATCAGAGGCTCAGGACCCGCCCCCCACCCCCACCCCCACTGTGGCCCCGGCCCAGACAAGGCGGTGCAGCCGTGGCTTCCCCCGCCCTGTCCAGGCTTCCAGTCTAGTCCTCTCCCATCCACCCTAGCCCGGCCCCACGCTCCGGCACTGCCCAAGGCCCAGCTCGGAAGACACCCGTTCACCCCACTCATCCCGGTATTCAGGGCCCTGAACAGTTCGAATCTCCGCTCCCGCGAGTTGCCACCCTCCTCGCGCTGAGTCACTCCCCGGAGCCTGGGTCGGCGACCCGAGCGCTAAGGGACGGGCTGGAGGCCAGCTGGATCAGAGGCCCTGGGGTGGGGTGCGCACTCACCAGCCCGAGGTTCGGCGCTCGTGAGGCCCCGGGCCTGGGCGAGGGGCGGTTGGGTGCTCTGCGAAGGCCGCGGCTCCGGAGGCGGGGGCGGGGCGGGGCCCCAGGGGCGGCCATTCATTGGCTTGTACGCCTGGCCCCGCCCCTGGGGGGAGAGGCCGGAGGCCCGGTTCTGTCCCTAACCGCCCCGGGAGGGGGAGCCGAGACTCGGAGGTGTCGGCGATCCGGAAACTCCTAACCAACTGGAGACGTCCAGCCCGGCCTTCAAGGCCCCTACAGCCGAGTTCCGACCGTGCTCAGCCGGTCTGCGCCGCTGCTGGGTCTCGATGCCCCTCCGAGACTGCTGCGCCAGCGTAGGCCACGTGCTCTGCCGCGGATCTGGGCCTCTCGCTGGCGCCTCGCCTGGAGAGCGGGCCCTGTTACCTCCTCTCTTCTTTCCCCTCCTTTTCCTCCTGTTTCTCCTCGCGCCGCCTTCTCGTCTACTGTCCTGCCAGACGGCTTGCCCGCATGCGGCCCAGACGTACGGCCACCCGATCTGCCCCTTTCGTCTACCGTGTGGTGTTCCTGACTTTTGAGTCAGCATCTCGCTATGGTTAGTTTTGATCTAGTGGCGAGTCTAGTCCTAGTTCTGCCCCTCCCCCACTACCCCAAAGCCCAGAGTACAGGCAGAAGTTGCAGTGCCTGGCTTGTGTACCGTTCGTGCAGTTTACTGTTTTACACACTTGGTCACATTTGCTTTGCACAAAGGATCACGGCCCCATTTTACACACGCATTTCATGATGGTTCAGAGAAGACTGATTTGCCTAAATTAACACAATAAAGAAGTATTTTTGACGAGTAGTATGGGTCAAATCCAGTCTACAATATTACAGTACTATCGTGCTTATCCCGCTAGGTATTTTTTAGCTGGGCAGGGTGCCACTCGACTCTAGGGAGGCAGAAGCAGGTGGATCTCTGTAAGTCGAAGGCATAGTGAGACTATCTAAAAAACAAAAAACAGAAAGACAGAACAGAAAATTCAATGTTGGTGTGGTGTCTCACCTCTGTAATCCAAGCTCTCTGGAGGATCTTGAGTTCAAAGCCAGCTAGGCAATGATAAAGAAGAGTTCATTTCAAAAGGAAGAGTAAGAGACCTTAACAGGGAATCTTGTCATGAGGTAACTGAAGAGACAGCTCTAGCTGTACCTTGATGGCTGTCTTTTGATGGTTGTTGTTGAGTATTTTAATATATGTTACATTTGTTTATGCTGCAACATTTGTTTTAATGATGCAAAGATGTTACATTCTTTTTTGTTGCTTTTGTTTCATTTTGCAAAGCTGTGTTACTAAAACACCCCACTTAGTCTAATAAAAAGCTGTACAGCCAATAGCTGGGCAGAGAAAGGATACCAAGGACTGGCAGGCAGAGAATAAATAGGCAAATTCTGGGGAGAGGGAGAGATCAAGGAGTGAGAAAAGAAGGGGCCAGTGATCCAGCCACATAGCCAGATATGGAATAAGAAGGAAAGAAAATAGATACAGAAATAGAGAAAGGTAAAAGCCCAGAGACAAAAGGTAGGTGGTATAACTTAAGAAAAGCTAGTAAGGTGGGGAGATAGCTCAGTGGTTAAGAGCACAGACTGGTCTTCCTAGAAGTCCTGAGTTCAATTCCCAGCAACCAAATTGTGGCTCATAACCATCAATAATGAGATGTGGTGCCCTCTTCTGGCTTGCAGGCAGACACAACTCTGTATACATATTAATTAAATACATATTTAAAATAAAAAAGCTGTCCTGGAATCCAGTTGCAGAGAGGGAGGAGTGATGAGCAAAGAGGTCAAGACCAGGCTGCAGAAACCCACAGAAACAGCTGACCTGAACAAGGGAGAGCTCATGGATCCCAAACTGATGGATAGCTGGGAAACCAGCATAGGACCGACCCAGACCCTCTGAACATGGGTGTCAGTTAAGAGTCCTGGGCAATCTATGGGGCCTCTGGTAGTGGATTTATTCCTAGTATACGAATGGACTTTGGGAGCCCATTCCACACAGAGGGATACTATCTCGGTCGGTCTAGACACATGGGGGTGGGCCTAGGTCCTGCTCCAAATGATATGACAAACTGAACACACCCACCCCATGGAAGGCCTCATCCTTCCTGAGGAGCAGAAAGGGGATGGGATAGGGAATTAGTGCAGCCCAGGGGAGGAGGGGGAGGGGAAGGGAACTGGGATTGACACATAAAACAAGTTTGTTTCTAATTTAAGTTTTTTAAAAGGGGGAGGGGAGAACAATGAGAACCTTCTCTGAACATTAAAAAAAAAAAGCTGTCAATAAACAAGCTAAGGCTGGCATTTATAATAAGTCTCCCTTTGTGTTTGTTTGGGAGCTGGGTAGCAGCCCCCCCCCCCACAAAAGAGTTTTTAAAAACCACACACACAACTAGAGATGGTCAGGATGCTTCTTTGCAGTTAAAAAAAAAATTTAAGGTTATTGTTTAAAGATATCTGCCTGTGTGTACACATGCTTGCATGTGCCTGAAAAGGCCAAAAGAAAGCACTGATCTGGAGGTGGAGTTAAGGGCAGTCTGTGAGGGATGCACATGGGTGCTGGGAACCAAACCCTGCTCTTCTGAAACAGCAAACACTTCTAACTGGTGAGCCACCTCTTCAGCTCCTTTAGTTAAGTTTTTGTTGTTTTGGTGTTTTACTTTTTTGAGACAGGGTTTCTCTGTGTAAACCCTGGCTGTCCCGGAACTCATTCTAGATCATTTTGGACTCAAACTCAGATCTGCCTGCTTCTGCCTCCCAAGTGCTGGGATTAAAGGAGTGCATCACCATTGCCTGGCAGCTTTTTAAAATATGTATTTGGGTGTGCCTGACTACATGTATGTGCACATTCATATAGGAGCTCCCAGGGGTCAAGAGAGGGCATCAGATCTCCTGGAGCTGGAGTAACATGATGAGGCACCATATGGGTGCTCAGAACCAAACCCAAGTCTACTAAAGCAGTAAATGCTCTTAGCCACTGAGCCCTCTTCCCAACCCTAGTAAATATTTGTTTTGTTTTTTTAATTTATTATTTTACATGTCGATTCCAGTTCCCCCTCCCTCCCCCCTAGTAGATATTCTTAAAGTGTCAGTTAGGTTCTGTTGTATAAGAAACTATGGCCAGGGGACTGGAGAGATGGCTCAACAGTTAAGGAAAGCAACTGGCTGCTCTTCCAGAGGTCCTGACTTCAATTCCCAGCAACTTCATGCTGGCTCACAATCACTATGAGATCTGATTTGTTTTTCAAGACAGGGTTCCTCTGTATAGCTTTGGAGCCTGTCTTGGCTCTCGATCTGTAAACCAGGCTGGCCTCAAACTCATATCCCAAGTGCTGGGACTAAAGGCATGTGCTACTACCACCTGGCCCATAAATATAGGAGGGAAAGAGGGAGAGGGAGAGAGAAACTATGACGATGACATACGCCTTTTAATACCAGCACTTGGGAGGCAAAGACAGGTGAACCTTTGTGAGTTCAAGGCCAGTCTAGTATACAGAACTAATTCCAGGACAGCAGGGCTACACAGAGAAACCATGTCTCAAAAATATAAAACAAAAAAACTATGGCCCTACAGCAACCAAGACTTCCTTTATCACATTATTCCCACTGTTTTTGATCCCTCCCCCTCCCTTGTGGGCTTTTCAAGAGGAATGTGGAAAAAGATAATCTAAAACCATCTGATCCACCATGAAGAGAAGGGGAGAGGGAGATGTCCCTGAATATGCAAACCTTCCACCTCAGGGTAAACTTAAAATCCACAAGGCAGGACCCTTAGGCTGTTTATCCCAGACATTTGGATCAGTCATTTTCAAATCTCTTTTTTAAGTTCAGTTTTAACTGTCTCAGCTGAATTCTCAATAGAGAATGAAGGAATAGAGAACCCTTCATTCTATAAAAAGCAACAGTTGATGAAGCAGCTGGCCTCCATGTTAGACAAAAATTAAAGTCTCATTCCTGATTACATGTTTCACAAGGATCTGTTTCTACATCCCACCTGTGACCTTAACTACAATGGTTCTGAACTGCCTGTTCCAGGAAATTACAACCATGTCTTTGTTTCAAAAAGTTGTTCATCACCATCTTGAAAGCCTACCTTCGTTTCAAAAGGTTATGACTGTCTTGTTTCAATGACCTTGCAATCATATCTTTGTTGTAGGTTAACTTCTTATGCTTATGTTCCCCTCCTGTAATCCCACCTGCCCACAAAATCCCCCATTTGGGAAGGCTCTACCCATTAAAACCTTGTCTTCCTCAAATCCAATGTTGACCTCGAGAACCCTGCATTAGGGGGAGGAAACCCTTGTACAAGTATAAAAAGCTTGCTTTAATTATTATGGCCATGGTGATTTGGGTTGGTGGTCTTTCTCCTTGCATCTTTGGTATTAACAGAACTCCCCTTTTAAAATTTCAAAATTTTATGCACATTGAATGCTTACTTGTATCCATGTATGTACACCATGTGCACCTGGTGTAGAACTCAGAAGGCATCAGATCCCAAGACTGGAGCTAGTGCAGGTAACAGCCCAGTTCTGTTTACCACTGAGCCATCTGCCCAGCCTGGAGTTACACTATTGCAATGGAGCAGTGACAAGGCCTGACAGAATTTTACTGGGGTCTGCTTGGATAGAAAAAAAGACAAGGAAAGCCAGGAAGGGTCCTACAAAAGCCTCTTTAAGGGATCCATTTAGTACCAACAGAATTCCTATGCACTGAGACACAAGCCTCTAAACCCTTGGGAAGAATGCAAAGTTCCAGGGCTTTAAGTATGCACCTAACTTCACAAGTCTGGAGTAATTAATTTCCGGGGAAGCCAGTCATATGGCTAAGATCGTGGGAGACTGTCTATGACTATTCCTGAACAATGAGCAGAGTTACCAGGTCTGGCAGGAACTTGCCAAATAAGATGAATGGAGCTAATGAATTAGGCCAGCTCCTTTTGACAATTTACGTAGGACAAGGCAGGAACTTACTTCCTGCTCCAGAGGAAACCCTGGTGCTGGGGAAATAATGGGTTGTCTAGAGGCCTGAGACTGATGTTCCAATACCTTGTTGGTAAATTAGCATCCAGACTTTCTGAACACGTCCCAGGAAGATGGCAACATTCTGCCAGGCTCACTGACCACCAGTCACTTCCCTCCCTCAGCCATTTCACATTTTTTCAAGGACCATGCTCCAGTTTGTAACAACATTCTTGTGAATAACCAGACCTTAGCTTAGGGACTCAGCTGACAGACCTGAAGACTATTTTTCATTGAGTCTGATCTCACTATATAGCCCAGGCTGTCCTGGATCCCAGTGATCCTCCTAAATTCTGGGGTTACAGGCTATGAGCCACGACACCTGCCCCAGTGAAAGCAGCTAAATCATCTAAGACAATCTTCTATTTAATGGACTTACAGCAAGGGACTAGTAAGTTTACTATGGCTGAGGGCTTTGCCTACAATAGTGCCTCTATAGCAACTTCAATCCTTGCTGGGGTTTGTATTTATCCATGTACATACATACACACAACCACACACCAAACCTCAGACAAGGGACTTTTTATTAGTAAGGAGACAAAGACATTTGGCTGTGGAGACTGGAAGCTTCTCTGGCCTACACTGGCCCTGCCCTTGCACAGAAAGCTGGTCTTTGTAGATGTCCATGATGACCTGGGCTCCACCTGTGTCCCTGTGTCAGGGTGGCTAGGGCCCTCAAAGCACAGATCTAAGCTCTTTCCCAAAGAGCTGTTCCTGGACAAAGCCATGTACACAGGAACAGGTGGAAACTGCCTATACCACAGCAACACTGGCCCCTCAGGGTGGCCAAATGCCCCTGCCTTGTTTTGACACCTTAAATTCAAACAATCCCTGTTCTCCCAGCCAAAGGTCAGGAGGATTAAGGTTTTCTTGTGTTTTGCTTTACCATATAGTCCTGGCTGACCTAGAACTCTCTATGAAGAGCCACAAATTTGAGACCTGCCTGCCCCTGCCTCCTGAGTGCTGGAATTAAAGGTTGTACACTACTTTGCCCAGCTGAAGGAAGAGAGGCAGGATTTTAGAGCCAAGTCCAGCTTACTTAATTCTACAAGTAGGAAGTGCCTACTCTGTGCTAGGCAGTATTCTAAAAGCTGTGGCATAGCTCATACTGGAAAGGTTCCCAACACCTAGCCAAGAGTTTCCTGAGCATGAACATTACAGTCTTTAGTCTGTTTCTATCTATTCTCATCCTCCTCATCCCTCCCACCATTTCCCAGGCCTTTCTCTGCCTTCAGCAGCAAATACCACCCCCCTACCCTGGTTCTCTACCCTCCCTGGACCACCCATCACTCCATTATAACTGGTGACCCCTCCTGGAGGAGAGGCCTCGATCGATCATGCCCTATCCCAAAGGGCCTTAAGACCAGGTGCCCACGCTGATGCTTGATTCGAGCAGAGCTGTCACTGAAGCCCTTGCCACACTCTGCACACTTGTATGGCTTCTCCCCTGTATGTGTACGCCTGTGTTTGACTAGATCTGAGCTCCGGGGGAACTCCTTCCCACAGAAACCACACACATGAAGCTGGCTGGGTCCAGAGGGCCGGCCCCGCACTCGAGATTGAGGAGCTGTGGGTACTGGACCAGGTGGGTTATGTGGTCGCAGGAGAGTAGATGGCGGTGGTGGTCTGGTACGTTCGCCCTGATGGGTACGGAGGTGCTTGACTCGGGCGGAACTGTCAGCAAAGCCCTTGCCACATTCAGGACAGAGGTAGGGTTTCTCCCCTGTATGCACACGAAAGTGTTTGACCAGATCGGAGCTTCGGCGGAAGCCTTTGCCACACTCAGGACACTTGTGAGGCTTGTCACCTGCAAGTGGTGGGGGTGGCTCCCCAGCCTGTGGGCCCACAGGCTCTGGTTCTAAGCCAGGCAGGCCAAAGGACCCGTCACTGGAATGTGAAAGGCTTCGAGGGGTCAGTGAAGGGCTAGTGCCAAGAGGAGGTGGTGGGCTAAGGATGAGGGGGGCTACAGGGTAGGCTGACAAACTGAAGTCCTGTGGCTCCACATGGGTAAGGCGGTGACGAAGAAGGGTAGAGCCTAGGCTAAAGGTACGGCTACACTCTGGACAGGCATGAGGTCTCTGGCCACTGTGGGTGCGGAGATGCTTCACCCGGGCAGAGCTATCAGCAAAGCCCTTGCCACACTCAGGGCACAGGTAGGGCTTCTCACCTGTATGTACCCGCAGGTGCTTCACCAGGTCAGAGCCCCGGGCAAACTCCTTTCCACACACATCACAAGCAAAGGGTTTGGGTCCTAGGTGACTACGTTGGTGGCTCAGCAGGCTGCAGCTTAACACAAACCTTTTACCACAGTCAGTGCAGATATATGGCTTGTCCTGGGCCTTGGATCTTTGTGGAGCTGCTGGAGCTGCTGGAGATGGCTGCTGTCGGGGAACCACCGGCCGGGGGAGCTGCTCGCCTCTGTGTGTCCGCTGGTGCTTTATTCTGGCAGAACTGTCACCAAAGCCCTTGCCACAGATGCCACACTTGTAAGGCTTCTCTCCTGTGTGTGTCCGCTGGTGTTTTACCAGGTCAGAGCTCTGGCGGAAGCTTTTGCCACATTCACCACAAATAGTGGGGCGCTCACCAGCAGGAATCCGAGACCGAGGCATTTTGGGAGGACCTGAGGCGGGTGGCTGGACTCTATAGGGCTTCTCACCAGTGTGAGTTCGTTGGTGTTTGATTCGGGCTGAGCTATCCCCAAAGCCCTTGCCACAGACCCCACACTTGTAGGGCTTCTCCCCAGTATGGGTCCTCTGGTGTTTCACCAAATCTGACATCTGCCGGAAGCTCTTGCCACACTCACCACACACTGCAGCTCGGCCATTACTAGCCTGTCCACAGCGGGGTTCTCCCAGGACCCGGGGAGCTGCATATCGAGGCTGACGCTTCCCAAGTCTCTCTCGGGGAACCCATAAGTCATCCCAGCTTTGAATGCTTTCAGGTTTGAGAGGAGCATATCCTACTTCATGGCCTGGGGCTAACTGTTCCTCTTCCTTGAACTCTAAGCCATCCACATCCTGTGGACTATGTTCAAACTCTTCCACCAAAGAGGTCTCCATGTTCTCACTCCCTAGACCTGGGCAAAGAAAACAGAATTAGAAATCTCACCCCTTGTTTTTTATCTTTTAGTGCTTCTGGAGTGATACCCAAGGCCTCTCTACCTCTAGTGTTAACTTCCCCTGTAAGACTTCACAATGCATGATCTCCTGAATTTTTTCCCTCTCTACGGAGCTTAGGGAACACATTATCTGTCTCTCAATAATTATAAGTTCCACTATGCTACATCCCTAGCTCTTTTTGTTTTGGATAACTTGCCCAGGCTGGTATTAAACTTTCAATACTGCCGGGCATGGTGGCACATGCTTTTAACCACAGCACTGGGGCACTGGGGAGGCACAGGCAAGTGGATCGGACTTCAAGGCCAGCCAAGAAGGCTACATAGTAATAACTTGTTTCAAACCAAACACCACTCTCAGCCTACCAAGGGCTGGGATTGCACATGTACTACCATTCTGATTTACTGTTTTTAATCAATAATCACTGAATAATATGGGGCCCCCAAAACACTATTAATATTATCTTCCTTTTACACTCATGGAAACAAGGAGAACTACAGTAATTTTCTTTTTGTTTCCCTTTTTAAACTTTTCTAGCAGGCTTTCCCTTTAGTTTCCAACCAGCTCCCAAACCATGACATGGAAGCCTGTTCCACTAGCTCTTATAACTTAAGTTAACCTGTTTGTCTTCATCTACATTTTGCCTCAGGGCCTTTTACCTTTCTTTCTGCATGTCCTACACCATGCCTTGGCTGGGAGCAGCCTGGCTCGCAGCCTCAGATGTCTGTCTCTCAAGTTTTTTGAGACAGGGTTTCTCTGTATTGTTTTCGAGCCTGTCCTTGAACTAGCTCTGTAGACCAGGCTGGCCTCGAACTCACACAGATCCTCCTGCCTCTGCCTCCCAAGTGCTGGGATTAAAGGAATGAACCATCAGCCCCACCTATCCCTCTACTGCCTAAGGGTTGGCATTTCATTTTTATTAGACCAATCAGGTGACTTAGGCAAGCAAAGCAACATATCTTTACATAACTAAACAAATGCATAAGCAAATGTAACACATCGTTAAACAAATATTCCATGATATTTTTTTCTTTTCCTTTTTTTGTTTTGTTTTACAAGACTTTACAAGGCTGTCCTGGAACTATGCAGACCAGGCTGGCCTTGAAATCAAGACATCCATCTGCCTCTGCCTCCTGAGTGCTTGTATTAAGAACATTGGCCACCACCACCCAGCTTTTTTCTGCCCCAGACAGGGTTTCTCTTTGTATCCCTGGACGTACTGGAACTCACTTTGAGGATTAGGCTGGCCTCAAACTCAGAGATCTGTCTGCTTCTGCCTCTGACCCCCACGTACTGGAACTAAGGGGTATGTGCCTCCACTCCCAGCTAAAGTAATTTTCTTAAGATCGGAAGTTACAGAATAGGCGGCACTGTTTCTAATTCCCTTCTACCCAAGTCTGTGTTGAATTACAGTATCTCTATTTAGAAAGTTTTTGAATCTCTACTTTTTTCCTTCAGTTTTTGAAACATTCTTACTATACTGCCCAGGATGGCTTTAAATTCTCCATCCTCCTAGGATTACAGGTATGTGTCACTACCACTGGCTCTATTCGGTCCCTTCCAACTTCAATGATCCTGGCTGTACTTCCCTACAAATACTCTGGGGTGGCAGAAAAAGTAGCAATAACTGTAACTGCGGGTTCCTAACAACTCTGCTGTCACGAGACAGGCGATAGAGAAGTAAAAGAAAACGATGGAAAGGAATGGGGTTATTTGGAAAAGAATACAGAGACTAGTAGGAGTAAGCAAGGTCTGTAGTTAACACTAGGTTCACTAGGGCTTTTAGTAAAAATAAGGAGGGTGAGGAAGGTTTTGAGAAGGGAGCCAAGATTAGAGCTAGATTTACACCAGAATGGCTGCAGAAGGCCCGCTGAGGTGGAAAGGGCAGGGGAGGTTAGCACAATTGAGCCCGGAGGCCTGCACTAGAGCCGAGGCTGTAAGGATGAGTGAAGGCCCGCAGGGGAGGGGAGAACGTTGTGGAGGATGCCCGCACCTCGGCCTGGCACACAGTAGGCGCCCAGAGACGCCGGCTCCTTCCCCTCAGATTTTGCTCCCACGCACGGCTTTCCCGGGTCCCCAAAAGGCCATTACCTGTCCGTTCGGCGCCGCCCGCCGCCCTCACCTGTGCAGACGATTCTCAGCCGCTCCCAGTCCGCGGAGCTCGGCGCCACAGAGTTCGACCGCGTGCTGCACCGTCTGCCCACGACCGGGGCGCGGCTCCGATGACTCGGCGGACGCCCGCCGCCCCTTCCCCCGCGGCGCAGCAGGGACCCTGCGGCCAGCGGCTCCGGTGCTATCTCCGCGCCACGCCGGGAGGGGGCTCGGCCCACGTCCCGTCCCGGGCGCCGCGGGGCGGGACGGGAAGCGGAAGCACGGGCCGCAGCGAGCCGCTCTAGGACCCGGAGGAGCCGCGGGCTCTGCGGCGGCGGCGACGCCGGTGATCAGGACGACTGTAGCGGTGCCCTGCGGCGTTAGCGGCCTGCCTCCCCGGCTCGTCTAACTGGCGCGATGAGGCCCGCTGCCCGCTCAGGACAACGGGGAAAGAGCCCGGGGATGGGGTGGGGAGACTGGCAGACAAAGGGCTACGGAGACCCGGCGGGCGGGGCGGGGCGGGGCGCCGAGGCGGTGAAAACAAAGCCCAGCTTGGGGTGGGGGCTGGGCTGGTGCTCGACACCCAAGCCGAGCTCCAGCCTGCCTGGTCGTAGTCTAAAAGTCAAGACTGTTGGAGAGAGCTGAGGCACAGTGTCAGGAGCTAGAGACAAAGAGATGTAGAAACAGATAGGAGGCGTGGAGTCACCCAAGCGGAAGAATCTCAAGCCCTAAGATGCATAGACCCCGGAGGGAAACAGGCAGGAGGCAAAACAAAGGACCAAAGGCAGAGACAAAGGTAGAGAAACAAAGAAAGGCTGCCAGCTTTGCAAAGGCCAAACCCAGGGAGAGAGGGAAGACTCAAACCCTGCCTCCATCTTGGTCGGCCCACGTTCCATGGGACCCAGGCCCTAGAAGCCATCCCAGGATTTTGTGTTGTAGGCAGGTTTTCCTTTGTAGCGGTGAGTGTCTGGAGACTTCGGTCCTTCTACAAAGAGAGGGATAACGGGATTTTAAATTAATATGTATTCGCATCTTACATTAAAGCAGAAGTTTGAGATAAAGTTGTAATATGCATCATCTGTCCCTTGATTGCTACCAGTTTTAAAGAAAAGCATACAAATCATTAGGCCAACAATTGGTGCCAGTGGGATGGCCCAATGGGTAAAGGTGATTGTCTCCAAGCTTGATAGTCTTGAGTTCTGGCCAGGAAACCCATGTCCTGGGGGAAGAGTGAAAGTTGTCCTCTGACCGCCACATGCTCTCCTGCTCACATGCGGCCCCCCCCATTACTCCAAATTTAAGAAATTCTAACAAAAGCAAAAGAAAAAACTATAATGTCCTGGGTGTTGGTAATCCCAAAGATGGGAAAGAAAGACCACCTACCCAAATTATCATGGACAAATTAACTTAAGCAAGCCTCTTTATTCATGTAGATGGGCTGGCATCCCCTCAGGCAGGTTTCAAGAAGTCAGCATTGAACTGGGAAGGTAAGGCTTTAATGGCTCCAGGGTAGGGGGTTTCCAAATAGGGGATTTGGCAAATAGATGGGTTACAGAAGCAGAATACACAAGGTAGATAGAACAACAGGTGATTATAGTAACCTTTTAAAACAAGCAGGGTTACAAGATGGTCATAAACTTTTGAAACAAAGACATGGTTGCTATTGTCTGGAACAGGCAGCACAGAACCATTTATAGTTAAAATGGCCCAATTCTTGGAAAACAGATTTAATCACAAACAGGAATGAACCTAGTGTGACTTTACTATAAGATGGCTTTCAAGCCTGAAATGGAGGCAAGATGGTTGGTTCATCAGTGTCTTTAATACCAGCATTCAAACATAAAGGCAGGGTTTCTGTGAGTGCAAAGCCAGCCTAGCCTACATAGTGTGTTAGGTTTCTTTATTAACTTTCAGCATCCAGGCCATCCAGGACTACAGTCTTGAAAAGGGAAAATAATCTAACAAACAAAAGACACGTTTAAAAAATAATAGAGACCTGTTGGGGTTGAGGCTTTGGATTAACACTGCAAACACCATACCTGTTACTGTTGAGATGGAGCAGCACACTAATCCTACTAACCACAAAGCCAAAGAGGAAGATAATGCTGTGTGTCTTTGTCCAACAAATCCTCCTGCTAGCCACTTTCTTGAACATCCAGACAACAAAGCTGCCTTCAGGACCTGGCCAGAAGCCCCAGGAATGCCTAGGACACCTAGAATGTATGTATGCCAACCTCCAGCTTCAGACCCAGCTTGCCCAACAACAGATGGATATTTTAGAAAACTTGCAAGCATACCTGTCACAACTGGGCCCTGAGAGGGAGAGCAACAACAGTTTTCTCCCAGCCTTATGTTGCAACCTGTTGTTAAATCACCTGCCCCAATTCCATAAATAAACTGTGCAACATAGAAGAAGAAAAAAAATAATAGAGCCAGACCATGGTGGCATACACCTTTAATCCCAGTGTTTGGGAGGCAGAGGCAGGTGGACCTCTGTGAGTTGAAGACCAGTCTGGTCTACAGAGTTAGTTCCAGGACAGCCAGGGTTACATGGAGAACCCCTGTCTTGAAAAACGAAAGAAAGACAGAAAGAAAGAAAGAAAGAAAGAAAGAAAGAAAGAAAGAGAAAAAGAAAGAAAGAAAGAAAGAAAGAAAGAAAAAAAAAGAATGAATTTGGGACTGGAGAGGAGCTACACAAACATGATGACCAGAGTTCAAATCCTTGGCAATCATAAATGCCCCAATAGTGGCTTATCTGTAATCTCAGCATTCAGTAACAGGAGAAAAAGATTCCCCCAGAAAGAGCTTGCTATCCAGACTAACAATTCCAATAAACACACACACACACACAGGGTTAGGGTTATATCGTTCAGTGACAGAGTACATGCTGAATGTGCTGGACACCCTGGGATGATTTCTGTCAAGTGACAGTATGGCAAGACAGCATAAGGATGGTGGTGGTGGTATGTGTAACTATAACTGTTATTGGTAGATATCTGAGTACCCTGACTATCTTAGGACTTCCAAGTCCCAGCACAAGAAATTGGACAGACTTCTTTTTTTTAATTATTTATTTTATTTCATGTTTGTTGGTGTTTTGCCTGCATGTATGTCTGTGTGAGGGTATCAGGTCCTCTGGAACTGGAGTTACAGACAGCAATGAGCTGCCATGTGGGTGCTGGAAATTGAACCTAAATCCTCTGGAAAAGCAGTCAGTGCTCTTAACCGCTGAGCCATCTCTCCAGCCTTAGAAATTGGACAGATTTCTATAATTATATTTTGGTGTGTGTGAATGACAGGCTGAGTTCAACAATGGCTAGCTGTGAATGGAAAGTCCAAGACTCCAGTCCCATGAGACTGGTTGTCTGAGCGGGTCTTCTGTGTGTGCTGGAACCCTGAACAAGTAGGCTCCGATGCCAGTGAAGGGATGGTGTGCTGACCAGGCAAGGGCAAGCGGTGAAGAAAGAACCAGTGACCTTTCCTTCTCCCATTGTCCGTATACAGGCTTCCAGCAGAAGGTGTGGCCCGCATAAAGTGTGCCTTCTGCCTCAAGGTCTGGATTAAGGCGTGTGTCTTCCAGCCTCAAGATCCAGATCACAAGTGTGCCTGTCCTGAAACTCAATCTGTAGTTTTTTTAATGACAGGGTTTCTCTGTGTAACCCTGGCTGTTCTGGAACTGGCTTTCTAGACCAGTCTGGCCTTGAACTTAACAGAGACTTGCCTGCCTTTGCCTCTGCCTCCTGAGTGATGGGGCTAAAGGCATGCACCACCACACCCAGCACAAATTAGTAATTTTAAAGTTTAAAACATTATGTAAGAGAGTCACAGGAATCTGCATCATTCTGGGTGCCTGATATTTGTGGATTTTCTACTCTGATCCGAAAGATGTAAGCATGACCCCATCATCTACATTGTTAAAAGAAAAAAAAAAAAAAAAAAACAGAGACACTTTAAGAATGAATTTAGCCTTTTGAGGCTGCAGGACTCTTCAGCCTCAATGGACTGAAGCCTTCCCCCTTCCCTAGGGATGTTTTTATTTTTCTCAGTATTTACACTTTAGCCAGTTGATTGCTATATGCTCAGAACTTGAATGGGCCTTTAAAAAGACAATTCCAAAAGCAAAGTCTCCATTCATCAGGTACCACAGTTTCCTGGTTTCCGGAAGCAAATTTGTATAGGCTTTGTGTCCTTGGAAAAGTCCCAAACAAGGTTCACATGGGGGGGACAAAAGGTAGCTGCTGAACAAATGATGGATTAAGTCTAGGTGCTAGCTCTCTAAGCTAGGCCAGGTGTGGCCCAGTGGGGGATTAGGGCATTTGCTAACACTCCGGCACCAGGCAGGAATGCTGCCACAGATGTAGGTTAGTGACAGAATGTCTGCCTAGTGTGAAAGATTAAAATCTTCAGTACTGAAATCTTGTCCCAGCATTGAGCTGTTCAGTGAAGCAGGGGGAAGGAGAGTTCAAGACCAGCTTCATTCATACTCCACAAACAAAACAAAAAGCAAGATGTGCCTTTAATCCCAGGATTTGGGAGGCAGAAGCAACTGGATCTCTATAAGTCTGAAGCCTGCCAGGTCTACAGATGGAATTCCAGGCCAGATAATGTTACATAGAGTAAGACCCTGTCTCAAAGTAGAAATAAATAAAAACAAACAACCCCACCGACCTAAAACCATAGTACTGAGTGTGGTGGTTTACCCTGTAATCTGAGCTGAGGCAAGAGATTCCCTCCTCTAAGGCTAGTTTGGGCTACAAAGTGAGTTCAAGATCACCCTGACAATAAAGTGGGACCTTGTCAAACACATAGGCTGTGGTGGAGAATGAGCGATCTCATAATTGCTGTGTCAGGCTGGCCTTGAACAGAGCCCTGTAGATCTGATCCTCGAATTTCTGTACTTAGGAACAGGGGCCACAGGAGTGCATTGGCTGTACCTATTAGGACTTTTTGTTTGTTTAGTTGTTTGTTGTTTGTTTGAGACAGGGTCCCTCTGTGTAACAAGCTCTGGCTGTTCTGGTGATGAACCAAAAATTGAAATTAATAAAAGTTTAAAAACTTGGGCCCTAAATCTATACAGAGAAAGGGAACTTCTAATGGTAAAGGAAAATTTGACTCCATAAATCAGGAGTGCCATGGCTGGCGCCTGAGCCCGGCTCTCAGAGAAGAGGAGGTTAACTATCCAGCACTTATGTAAAACATTCCTTTGTCTGCTAATTGCTGGTCATAAAGGTCCCCTGATGGTTGT